ATTCCTTTCTCTTAATAAAAAAAAAAAAAAGCAGTTCCTGTGTGCTGACCTCCAATGAGTTCTGCACAGTGGTATAGAGGGCATGTCAAAGTGTGGGCAAAGAGTTTGTTTCTATGCATTAGCAATTAAAAATCTCAAAAGGAAATTAAGTAACCAATTCCATTTACCATAGTATCAAAAAGAAAAAGAATACTTAGGAGTAAAATTGACCAAAGAGGTATAAAACTTGTACAATGAAACCCACAATATATTGCTGAAAGAAATTAAACTTTTTAACTATATCTAAAATACAACCACTGGTTTCCATCTGCACCTCTATTACTCCATTTCACACAATGGTTGTCATTTATTGGACATCTATTATGGCATTCTAGTCTGCCTGTCTGTATTTTCTCTTTCCATTTCCATTCTCTTTTCCAAAACCTACTTTTATTGGCTTTCCATCTTCCAATTGAATCTCTTAATACAACCAATTTCTTTGTAAGTTGTAGCCAGCTTTGGCTAAGTCTGTAAGACCCTACACAATCCTGCCATAACAACTTCTGCCACATCACATTTCGCTTTTGCTTTCTTTGGTGTTTCTGTATCTTTTACTGCAAAATGAGCAATATGAGATTTTGTTTGTTTACTGCACCATTCTCAGGGCCATGCACATTGTAGTTCTTAAATATTTAGTTAATGATTGAATGGCTGCTATCTAACAACTATACTGCCCTTAATATTTCTCAAAGGTTGCATACTACGTCATGGTGTAATTTTATTTTAAATATTTCTTTTCCTGTAAGTACTTGCCTTTTATTTCTATGCTTAATTAAGTCCTGTTCAAAATCAAGACTCAATAACATTTTTTTACTGTTCTCGTATGTTAGGTAAATTCCCTGTATTTTATCCTTTCATAAACTGTAGTATTTATCACATATTTATTTTTGCTTTTATTTATTTCATATATTTACCTTCTATCCCAGGATAAGCAAGGAATATACTTTTGTTGTTTTGTTTACTCTCAAGTAATCAGTCTCATCTAGTGCTGGAAGCAGTAGTGCTATGAATTAATCATTTATTGTTGGCGTATTAATATTGTTGCTAAATGAGTACCTCTTATGTCAGTATAATGTGAAATTCCTTTAATTAAGTGCCAAATACAGTCAACTTACTTTGGCTATTCCCTTTTCAGGCTTGCAGGAATAAGGAATGTGTAGATGTTGGATTCCTGGGCTATGACTGTACTGCAGAAAAATGCAATTCTCATGGTGTAAGTACCAGTACATCAAGGCCAGGGTAGAAATCATTGAGCGTCATCCTAAGAAAGCAAACACACATTAAACACACATATACACAACGACATTCACACACTCATAAACCACTTAAGAAAATCAACCTTATCTGAGCCAAGTATTATTTTAGAATTCTACTCGAATGCAAAAACTTCTAGGTACTTATCTTATGCAGTGATCTTTTTCTGGCTTCAGATATGCAATAATAAAAAACACTGTCACTGTAACCCCACATACTTACCTCCAAATTGCCAACTTGCTCAAGATGCATGGCCTGGTGGAAGTATTGACAGTGGCAATATTCCACCTCAAGACAGCTTACCTAGTATTAATAACAAATTGAAAATATAATTAAAACATTTCAATTTATCAACTTTTAAAAAATAAATCATACTTTGCCTACTAATTTATATTTAGAGAATGTTTGGCCATTAAATAATAAAACATATATGGCTATTTAGTTTATGTTTTAATTTCAGGGAGTACTTTAACGTAGGTAACATGTATTGTATAAGTAAGATATGTTGATAAGGGCCTAAAAATCAGGGAAAAATAATCACTTTAGTCCTTCATACAGATGGAATTCAATCGAAGGCTTTAAGTAACACATTAATGACAGAGATGGGGACCAATCACAGACTGGGGAAGCAACCCTGAGATTAGTGACAACAGGAATCCGCACCAAATGGGGCTGGAGGGATAGTACAAAGGAGGTGGCATTTCTAGAACCAGAATCTGAGCCATCTAGCTTGACGTGTAACTGTGGTCAGGTCTACATACCGGTATCTAGCTCTCAGTGAGAAGTACTGTCTGGCAGAGTTGATGGTATGAAACATACAGACCTCTATGGGAGATGCTGGAGAGGAAGGTGAGTAAGTACACCATGTCTGCTTTCCTTTTGTGACCTTCCAAATGTGATCCAGTGGCTCCCACTGGCCAACTTTAACTAGAAGACAGAAAGAAGGTCAAAGAGCCTAAGGATGTAGTTTCTTACAATTTTTTTCAGAGCAGGGATGGATTTTAAAGTAAGCCAGCATATCCAATGGTGCTTAGGGCTAGACTTCTTTAATTTAAAAACCTAAACTTATAGATAGTTAAAGCAGGTTTTCCAGGATTTTGAGCCAGATGTTGTTTTAGCATTTCCATGTTCATTCCAGTGTTTGAAATATCATCTTTGAGGCAATATGGAAGTAATGATTAAGTGAAAAATGTTATCATATATTTAATGCTATTCCTCTCTTGTAGTAACAGTTACCTGGCAATAACTTACTTTTAGATCGATAGCAATTAATTGCTTCTGTCCATGTACACACACACCACTTCCCCAAAGAGCAAAAGAGAGTGCTTTTTTCCTAGAATTCAGGTTGGTGTTAGTAATATGACTGATCAAAGAATATTACTGAACCATAAAAAAGAATGAAATCTTGCCATTCATGAGAACATGGATGGACATAGAGAATTTTATGCTAAGTGAAATAATACAAAGAAAGACAAATACCATATGATTGCACTTATATGTGTTATCTTAAAAAAAGCAAAAGAGAATAACAAACCATTTTAAAAAGCCTAGAAATGGACTCATAAATACAGAGAACAAACTGATTTTTGCCAGAAGGGAGGGACATGGGGGAACAGGAAAAGTAGGTAAAGAGGATTAAGAGGTACAAATGTCAGGTTATAAAATAAGTAAGTCACAGGGATGAAATGTACAGCATGGGGAATGTAGGCAATAATGTTGTAATAGCTCAGTATGGTGATGGATGGTAACTGCATTTACCATGGTGAGCATTTTATAATGTGTACACCTGAAAATAGTATGTCAGCTATACGTGGAATAGCATTTTTTAAATGTACAGAAGTGAGGTTCCAGGACTTCTATGGCCTTCCTGCAGATTCTGACTGACTCTTAGCATACCAGTTATTGGAACTCTCATTATTGGAACACTGTTGAAAATCATGTGCTCTGTATGAATTCTGAATACAATGAGACCAAAAAATACAACTATGAAACCAACCTCTCGCCCAATTCATTATGACAAAATGAACAAAATTAAATGATTTGGGGGGTAATTTCTTGCACCTTACTCTCTCTCTCTCTCTGTACATATATAGTAGAAAACAATTTGTTAACTAGATGGTGTATTTACATAAAAAGAATCTAAAACATGTATTCTTAGCTTTGGAATTAGATAGTGCACAGAAGGTAGAAAGACTTCTAAGAAACAGCTGAAGACTATTAGCATATATTGAAATTGTCTTTAGAAGACTGTTGGTGAGCAATTCAAATACAGCTTTAAAAGATGTTATTAGAAACTGGAGAAAAAAGAACATTCATTATGAAGTTGTGAACTTTTTGGCCTCATTGCTGCCTATGCTAATGTGGAAAATAGAATTCATGGTTCTAGTCATCAAGATCTCCAGGTAAATTGTAAAGATTTCCAGGTAGGTGACTGCAGTTACCTATGTAAAATACAAGACAGTAATAATGAAGGAAGAGTTTAATTTTCAAGTAAAAGGTAGATCAAATATAAAAGAGCTAGGATTTTATTTCTGGTTTGAAAATAAAACATTCTTGTTCCTGGGCTCTTTCAGCAGCATGTTCTTAAAAGTAAGAAATGACTGAAAGATAAATTTGAGATACTGAGCAATTAAAGTTGACCTCAGAGAAAAATTAAGTCAAACATATAACTATAATGCCTTCTATTAAAACCTCAGTAAAACTTAAAAGTGATGCCTCTTAGACACCTTTGTGTATACAAAACGTCTAAGTTTCCCTTCTAATATTGGAAGACATCATAGAAACTCTCAAACAATAAGGATGCTAAGAATCTTAAAAAGTTACTTCATAGCAGCTTCACCCATGTAGGAAAAGGTTTTATCTCAGACATTTGTGGGTGTGCCCTTTATTTAATGGGGTGTATTGTTTTGTTTGATATGCAAGAAATGCATACATTTCTAAAGGAATTAGATCAGATGATAGTGATCAAGATAGTATCTATGAGTCCCAATCAATCATGGGCAAGAAGCATGCTGATAAAGCTATTCAGATGCAAAAAAAATAGCTATTCCTTAAAGAAAAGGATAATAAATCCAAGGGTGTAACCAAGTAGCCAGAAGACAAAATGTGAATTTGATTTGTTTTTTTTTAAATTAGAAAAATAAAAAGAAATACACATGTAGATGGTTTCATATTCCACCAAACTTTTTCAAGGAAGAAATACCATTTTAAAAAACAGTGATGGAAGGGACTTCTATTGCCTTATTGTATGAGGAAAGCATAGCTCTGACGCCAACTCCATACGAGGAGGTTAACAAAGAAAATAATTGCAGAGCAGTGTCTTTCATGAACATAGATGTAAACATGCTCAACAAAATATTAGCTCATGTAACAGCGCTACCTATATTTAAAGGTTGATAAACCAGACGAACTGGGGTTTCTTAGGCATGTGAGACTCTTCCACCATTTGAAAGTCAATCAATACAATTCACCAAATCAACAAAAGATTTTTAAAGTATATTGTTTTTTTGCATTTGATGCAGAAAAATCATCTGACAAAATTCAACACCTATTTATGAATTTTTTTAAAAGCTGAAATAGATTGAAGTAAATCTCATTAGACTGATAGGAAAGCACCAACCAAACACGTAGCTAATATATCTTAAGATGAAACATTTCTTTTAAAAAAATGGGAGCAAGGCAATAAACTCTGCTCTCACCATCTCTGTTCAACATTTTACCGTAAATCCTAGCCAGTGCAATAGCGAAAGGACAAGAAATCAAGAGGGTACAGATTGGAAAGGGTGACATGAGACTGCAGATGATGTGATTAAGTACATAGAAATCCTAACAAGTCTACCAAAATACTCCTAGAAGTAATAAATATCTTTTGAAAGGTCAAAAGAAACAGTGTTCAAACGTCAGGAGTATTGCTATCTAACAGCAGCAGTAAATAGAAATCAACCTGAAATCAGTTCTATTTACAATACTATCAAAATATAAAATATTAGGAATTTAACAAAACATGTGCAAGTCCTTTACACTTAACCTAAAACAAAAATGCAGATCGGTGTTACACAAACAGATAAATGGAGAAATATGCCTTGTTCACTTATTGGAAGATCTGTTATTGCTAAGATGTCAATTCTCACCAAATTTAGGCTACAGATTACAGAAACCCAATCATAAAACCCTTTATTAGATACTAAGAATTTAATATTCGATATTAACAATTTGAATATAAACCGTACGTGAAACTGCTTAGGATCCCCAAGCAACCCCCTAAAAGAACAACAAAGAACAATTTAGTCTATTTGCCCTACATTGAATGTAGTACAGTATAGGCTTAGTACACAGCGTCAAGAATGAAGACAGAGTGGCACTGGTAAAGGATAGACACACAGACCTATGGAATGGTATAGGGACTCTAAAAATATGCCCATTAATGTGTGGTTAATCAATTTTCCAAGAAAAATAAAAAGTTCAGTGGGGAAGGAAAGTGTGTTCCAAACTCTGTACTGTAACAACTGGGTATAAACCAAATGCACATCAAAATTTCAACAATTCATATGGGATAGATCACAAATCTAAATGCAGAAGCTCAAACTATGTTATCTTCCTGAAGGAACACAGAGAAACTTCTACATGACCTTGGGGCAAGCAGTATCTTTTTAGGTAAGATGTGAAATACATATCAATGAAATAAAGGACAAGATTGTTTGGACTTCATGAAAATCTTATTTTATGCACAGTATTTCTTACTAAAAACAGAGTATTGAGGAAAAACTCAGTTCTTATTGGGATCTCACTTAAATTCTTTCCATCTACCTTATCAGGCAGTTCTGAACAGAAGGTTCTCCATAAAAAAAGCAAGGGATGGAGCTTTTATATGAGAGAAGAGTCTGGGCATTTATGTTGTCAATGTATCTACTGCACGTTAAAAACATGTTAACCATAAAATTATAAAGTAGTTCAAAATTGTTATGCTAACAGTCCATATTAAAATATACAGAAATGTCTTTACCTTGTTCGTGGCGATTGCTTTCAAATCACTTGTGTTTTCTTTCCTAGAAAGAAAGAAGCCTTTCAATTCAGACTTATAAAATATCTGGTTTTCTTAGTCATTCTGTTTCTCTCTATATTGATTGGTACCCTGCTCAAAGATTATTTCAAAAAGCTGAAATAGATTGAAGTAAATCTCATTAGACTGATAGGAAAGCACCAACCAAACACGTAGCTAATATATCTTAAGATGAAACATTTCTTTTAAAAAAATGGGAGCAAGGCAATAAACT